TCAGACAGTCTTCCAAAATAAACATCACAAGCTTTGCTTGTCCTCATCAAAAGGGCTGAAGATGTCCGTCCCAGAGGCTCCTTCGGTCCGGACGGGAAAAGCTCCGACGATCCGTCTCGACAGTCAGCAGAGACGCACCGTGACCTACAGAATACCACTTTAACTTTGTCAAAGGGCCCCTGCGTTAACAGCAACACAATCACTGGATCACAAATCACACGCTGAGTTACGAGAGCTGCACGCTGTGTCTCTCTTGTGACATTGGGGGGGGGGGCTCGCTGAGCGTGTAGCCATGCTGCGTTGCCCAAATAGATTGCAGGTTCGGTCTGAGAGCGATGCAGCCTTGGGACGGATCCTCAGACAGACGAGTGCTACTCCAATGTTAATGAGGGCTCCTCTAGAAAGGCATAAATTAAATGATTAGATGTCTGCAATCATGCGAGGTCCTTAGGTGCCCCCCTATTTATGGCATTTGAAATGCAGCGGCCCTTTATTTACGAGGTGTCCCCCCCGCCCCACCCGCACAGGCTCCGCCACCTGAGCAGCACAACGCTTTCCAAAGACGAGTTTTTTAATGACCCGCAGATGAATCACTGGTGGGAGAAGCCGTGCCCCCCCCCCCTTTTGTTCTTGTTAGAATGGTGCCCCCCTCTGAAGAAGCTCCAGGTGTCTGGAGTGAAACATATTTGTTCCAGAGACTCCGATGGCGGCCACCTGACAACGCGGCGTCCTCCTCCCGGGTTCACGCGCTCTCCTTTGTCGTTTTTAGGGTTCGCCACAACAGCTATTTTCATCTCCATCATTGCATTAATTACCACATAACTCGGGTCTCTGGGCTCCAGCGGTGTTTTCCCCGCAGAGAACAGCGTGTCGGGGCTCCGACAAAGGAAGGCAACAGTACATATACTCGGTTGGCACTTCATTAATCAACGTACCAAATCAGCGCGGCGTGACACTTATCGCAGCTTCACAATGAGTCTACGACTGTATTGTGTTCTCTTCAAACGATGTTCATTCTGCTCCGTTCTGAAGGTTTTAATGAGATTTTGGGTGGATTCTCATTGTTATGATGATCAGGAGGGACGCATGTGTCCAAGTCGCTCAGTATGGAGACGTACAGGATGGACAGGCAGAAGGGGACTGCTTTTCTATTTGGAAGACAAGGCCGTCTTAATAGGAAGCAGGTGAGTAACAGTCATCTCCCCTCGGCCTGAAGTGACGGACTTTCTTCTGTGTTTGTGTTGAGAGGAAGAGAGAAATTGCGCTCAGGATTCTTGCTTTCTATCCGCCCTCTCTATTTATTAGAGGAATGAATTTCAGACTGCAGTGCCAGTTCCACTGAGCCGGCTTCTCGGCCTAATTCTCTGTAACGTTTCCTCATAGCCGCTGGGGAACATTATATGGAGGCAGGGCTTACAATACCATCAATATGCCCAAGACGACAATCGGACGTCTCATAGATATTAATGGAAGTGCAAATTAAATCAAAGTTGGAGTGCAGCTATCGAGGCTGTGATCAATGCCTTTTGCACAGTCCGATTTAATATGGGAATTGTAATTTGAGTATCCAAACAAAATGTGCATCTTAATGGGAGAGATGAAAGTAATCCCACATGGGGGCGAATAACACATTAGCTGAATTGTAATTAGAGAACTCGGAGTGCAATGTTTCCCCGGCTTCGTATTAACGGTGAATAAAAGCCTGATGCGTTTACAGCGTGATACCGGATGTGGACATTTGGATTCTTTTTTGGACACCTCTCGAGATGTCGTAAGAAGCATCTTTGAAAATAAAACCAATCATAATCATGTTTGAGAAAAGCACCAGTATCACATCTCATACAAACAGTGAAATGAAGGCAATGTGGCAGGAACACATCTGTGTTATTTCAGTCACGGCAAACAATTACAGCAAAACACATCAGGTCTGATTCAATGATGAACAAATACTGCGTTTTAAAGCCAAAAAGCTAAAAGGGAACATAAGTAAAGTAGGTGAAACACACTCTGATCACCTCACTGGCCTTCAAAGAAATGGTGTTTTTCCTGATAATGCAGCTTGACAAAGTCACTACGCTTGTGTTCATCGGCAAGCGGGCGAGTACACGTGAGCCCACGTGAAGGCAGCGCGGAGCACAAGGACAGCAAACAGATAAACAGCTTCCAATGAATAACACATGAGATAACAATGATCCCGTGCACCACACACACACACACACACACACACACACACAGTCACACGAGACCACGAAAGGCTTTTCTGACTTGATGCAACCTCTCGTGATCACAGTGAAACGCCATCAATAGATGGTGCCTCTATAAGGAGGATTAACTCAAAGAAATAGACATTGAAATCAGTTGTTTTACAGTGTTTAAGGTTTGTGAACAGTTTGTGTAACAACGAACAGTTACAGTTGTGTTACATTTTGACAGGTATTATGTGAGGAAGTCCTCGTGCCCAAACAGGGTCTGTCAGCAAAATAAGTCTTCAATCAAGTCAAAATATGTTTGTTCTAAACAGAGCGAAGTCACATAAGATAATATTCCAGTGAATAAAGTGAGTCCGCCAACAGACCAGCTGGTTCTAAATGTTCAGGGGTCAGGTGACATGAAGGCGCCACAGACTTCGTGAGGGTTCGGTTCTGTCCCACCGTCCAATGGTTCAGTGTTTGAGGCTCTCTGGCAGATATTTTGAGAGCTTAATGAACTCTTTCCGCGAGTCAAACTTGGATTCTGATTTTGCCCAAAAGTCATTGCAATGTGACCGTTTGCGGCGGACTCAGCCAATCGGTCTCACCCATAGAGGCTCTATTCAAGTGGACGTTTCTGTTTGTGATTCACACTGTCACTTCACTGGGTTTGTTCTAGAATTTGAAATCTTTTGATTTTAATTGAACCATCTGTCTGTATTTGCTGTAACGCGGATCAAACCCGGCCCCTTACACACTCCACACAGTCACACTACATATTTCACCATAAACAGCACACTATGGCAAAGCCTGTCCATAACTATCACTTTGTGACCCAGACCCACAACCAGGAGACCACTCAGTGAAAGACATTCGGTGTCATCATCGCCTCTGAAATTCACTTACAACTGATTGTTAGTCGTTAGCTTCTTACATTTCAAAGGCCAGATCTCCATCGACGGTTAAGGAGCAGCTCAGATTTATTTTAGGTTTGTTGTTTGAGCGGGTTTTTCTTCTATTGGACAAGCTGCGGGTTTAAGAGGTTTCAATTTTTGTTTTGAAGCAAAATGACGATCAAATTTTTCATGAGGTAAATCAGTGAAATTGAATCATTTAGAAGTTCGCACAGGAACGTCAGCCCTTATTGGAAGATAAATGTTGACGTTTTCCTTTTGCACCGTCCTACTTTAGACAATAGCATTAGGGGCCTCAACTCCATTTATAAGGTGTAACATTTCATCCTCAAACGCCTCGCTGAGAAGGTGTAACAGGACGCCCTGATCCATCAATAAGAGTGTACTGATATTGTCAAATGTTAGTATGTCTTCCATCAACCCGTGTGTCCTTTTGGCCGCTCAGCAGCACATTGCCTCACTGTGCCGGTTCCCCCCCCGAACGCCTGCTGCTGTGAAATGTTTTATGCCGAGCATCTATCAACGTGTGAGGTCGCCAGCGCCCTTTATTTCTCTGTGGGAGAACTGTTTGGCACAACAGCGCTTCGTACAACGCAGTCCCGCTCGGCAGTGTAATGGTGGCAAAAGGAGGTCATAAATAATAGATCCAAGATTACTTACACTTCATGAAGCAGCCCACTGCATGGCATTCGAGGGGATATCACATTCTGCTGCAGAAACTATGGATGTGGTCCTTTTTATATAATTATAAAGGAAAACAAGGTCTCCGTAATATCGTGAAAAACATAACAGTTTTCATCCCTTCCAGTAGACTTTATTTGCAGCTACTATTAAAATAAATTAAAAATCACAAGGATGTTAACTGGTCCATAGATGCAAATACATTTTGGAATTGATCATTTATAGTGTTATAGATTCCTCTTTGCACTTCATTGTCTCCGGCCTCCAAAGGCTACTCGTATCTCCTCATGAAAAACGATTTAACTCACATTTTATGCATTTGAAATGTAACTGTGCCCTATCAAACCACTTTTAATTGAAAATGTTTTTATTCACCATCTCTTTGATTTGTTTCTCACTTTGAGCTGTTTGCACACTGGAATTGGAGGTGAACATATTCATATCATGCACGTAAGACCAAGTTAACCGTTATTACATTTAGATGGTAGCAAATAATGAGATAAGCTCTTATTGTAACACGTGACCCTTTTGTCTACGCTGCAGCTGCCTGTCTTCATACTGCCCCTCAGTGGCAAGACGGCCCAACGGCCCGAAAACAAGACAATCTGCCTTTGTGAGAACAAGACCTTCCATGAACACGCTGCGGCAAACTTTGATACTCTGCCGTCAAGTATGAGGATAAGAATCCCAATAATTTCTAATGTGCCAATGCAGCCGGAGATAAATAGCACAGAGCAGAAGAGATGATCAGATCTCACTCCATATCTTAATGGGATCCTCTCACGCGCCATTCCCATTAATGACCAATCCCTCAATTATGTAAATCAGCAACCGGTCACTAACAGTGAGAAGCTGAAGTTGCTCATAAACAGCAACAGTGTCACTTTGCAGAGGGCGCTAATTGGCCGCTACTTTTCGTATAATTACAGTGTCTGTGGTCCCGTCCTCGGCTGACCTCGCCTTCAAGTATTGTTTTTCAGCGCAAAAACTGTTAATGGAGCAATTAAGATGGCGCTCACAAGCACCACTTGCCTGGGACCATTTGACAAGAAAGAGCCGGAGAGCGGCGGCCCGGGAGGCTGTAAATCCTGCACACGGTACACAAGCTGAGGGTCAAAGGGCACAATGCAACTCCGCGGCATCCTGCTCGCCGGCTGGTCACCGGGGAGCCGACCCGCGTGGGGCTGAAATGACAACAAGTAGCAAACTCTGCAGCTTATTTGTTCCCGTTTATTTGGTCAGTTACACGTTCCACCTGTGCATGTGCGCATCCAAAGGACCTGCATCTTGGTTCATCTTAGTAGAAAACTGCAACTGCTTCAAAACACATTTTTGTATGACAGCGTGATATGAAAAAACAACAACCTGGACAATGTATATTCATGATGTTTAACACAAAATTAACATTTACCAAAAGTGTTTTGATTGTTACAGCATTGGAACTATAAAATAATGATAACAAAACTAATGACACCTTTCAAGGCACAGGTAGAGTTTTTCACAGTGATTTTCATTGTGCGTCTTTCTTCTATTTGACATGATGCACTCAAATGTTCACGCCATGAACACGTGACAGAAGAACGCAGCTACAGAAAGGTGAAGATACCTCCGTTCCGTTGGACCAACATGGGACAGGCTTTTGGGAGAAAAAGGTCTGGTAGACAAATAATGATTTGATCCCTTTTGAGGCGATGCACATGAGGTGTGCGATGTGCATCGCTGGGACGACAGATTCACTTAAAGGTTCCACGCAAATCTAAATGACGCTACGACAAATGTATGACGTTGCAAACTTCTTATATCTGAATCATGGCACAATTCAAAGGGGATTAAACCCAAATGAGGTCCAACAGAAGGGGGGGGCTTTGCTTCTGTACACAGCAGCAGTTATCGCATCACAATACAGATTTTAACAAGAGAATCCAGCACAGACGGATGTGAACGTACCAAAGGGAAATACTCCCAGTGCCGCCTATTCCAGACACTAAGCAAACAGAAGAAAAGTTTCATCTCTCCATCTGCCCCCCTCTACCACAGACTTTGCCCACCCTCTATGACTAAGTTATGCCCTGTCATGTAGTCGGAGGCGTCAGATGCCAAGTAGACCACTGCAGCTTGCAGGTCTGTCACTTGAGCCAGTCTACCAGCAGGGATATCTGACAGCCAGCGCTGCACCAGAGGCCTCAGGCTCTCCGAGTGGATGAGAGGGGTGTCAACAATCCCCCTGAAAAGAGAGAGAGGATGGGGGAGAAAAACAAAACGCACACAATGAGATGAGAAGGCATCACCTCTCAGAACCCAGCGTTATTTCAGAGCCACCACTTTAGTGACAAAAACAAAGGCAATTACACTTTGAAGAAAAGGCGTGGCATCTCTGACGGGGTTTGCCGGCACATCGCAGAGCCCCCGGCTGTCACAGCCTTCGGTTACGCACTTACTACACGCCACTGGTGAGTGAAACGTGCCTGAGCTCCTCTGATGTCGATACAGTATTTAGGTGGGATTTAGAAGAGAACAGGTGTTTTGTGGCTGCACCGGCGTCGAGACGAATACATGAATGCATTTCTCCCCCTTTCTACAATGAATGAGGTATCAAAGCTCACAGTGGAATAAACATGTCACCACGGCAGCCTGCGCCCATTACGAGACGACTTCTGACTCCGTGACAGTGACTACAAGCCGCAAGGCCCAAATCACTGCGCCGCATCCTGCCGCCTTGATATGGAATTCCAACATTTCACTAAATTAGCACTTCCAAGTAGCGTGCGACACCTTGGTTAACGTATTCCACCTCAATTATATTTCTCTTCAGCTGCCCTGTTATCTGGAACCTTTGCTGGCAATCGGAGGTGCTGTTTTCCCTCAGCCAATTTTATAGATAATGCAGCTTATCGCGGCCGCGGCTAAAGTTGCCAAAGGAATCGGGCTCTAGTCAACCTCAGGAGCGCTAATTGTGTCGCCCCCCCCCCCCTTTTTTTTTGCATATTTACCGATTGTCACTTCAAAGAAATCAGCGGCCCATTGAGACGACTGGTTAGCGAGAGAGGGAGGGGGGGGTTATTGGGGGGGGGGGGGGGGGTTAAAGAAAGAGACAATTACTTCTCTGCAAATTAAAATGAGCAAACAAGCAGCTGATAAATAAAGGGGAGCGGGTGTGCGGGGGCTTTGTTCTCGGCTGTGACGGGGCCTGGCTTGCTTGCTTGGTGCCACCGTACGGATTTACTCAGGGATGGCTGTGACACACACACACACACACACACACACACACACTCCCCCCTGCTCAGCTTCATAGACAAACAAGGCGCTATTGTTGGAGTGAGGTTGCAAATTTGATTCCCTAATTGAAAAGAACAATTAGAGCAAGTGTTTGGTTGATTCATCCCTCAAGACGTCATCTAATTAAGCGCGCGTGTTTTGTTTGAGGACTTAAGTTGGTGCATCGTCCTCAAACGCGGCTCTTTACGGCAAAGCAAACGCTCTAATCACCACTTTCCCTTTGGCAGCACAATTTCCCCACAACGCTGTGGTTTTTGGCAGAAGAGAAGACGCCACTCACGGTGAGATGCAGTTGACACGAACTCCTCTGTCCATCCACTCGGCGCCCAGCGTCTGAGTCAGTTTGACCACTCCCGCCTTGGACGTGTTGTAGGACAGCTGCTTCTGCGGGTGGGGGACTGCAGGGCGGTAAAGAGAACCCGTTACCCTAAACGCACAGTTTGTTAACAATGGAGTGCACAGTTCTCAGGTGGTCATTTATAAAGACATTTTATTTTTAAGGAGTAATTTAATTATAACAGAGAAGACACACATTGTATTTGCATCTCCTGCGGTTTCTTGTGGATCCTCATAAAAAGCTCCTCCATTAGCTGCTGGGGACTCGAGGACAAAGTCACGGAAAATAAATTGCTCATAATGTCCAGTTATGCTCCGTCCTCAGCAACAAAAGATGGAGCCATTTGTTTGCCTTGACCATCACAGATGCTGCACGCTGCATGGGACAACGGGACAGGGGCTCATTTTCTGCTGGTTGATTAATCATCACGAGGAGCGCTCCGAGTTACATACAACTTTAGTAGTTAACCTCGTCACCCGCCGATCTGACTGCCAAATGGCTTCAGTGTGACGCCGGGATGATGAATACCGGCCAGCTGCGCAGAGGCAGGAAGCCTTCCTGGGGGGGGGAGGCCCGCGCACATTATTTGGATGAAGAAAGGGAGAAATAAGTAATGTATGTAAAAAAATAAAATAAAAGTGTGGGGCAGCTGCTCCGTGGGGGGGGGGGGTGCGTGGAGCGGAGACGGCGGAGGATTGGAAGGTTGGGCCGGGCTGGATAAGGGGAGGCCGGGACCTCAGAGGAGCGGAGCCCAGGGCTTACACGCAGATTGAAGGTGAAATCCGACTTATCAGGACAGGAAACACAGCTCAAAACGCCTAACAGCACTAATCCTCGCTCCAGACCTGGTGATACGGCCCCAAAATACCATTCAGAAAATGCCTTCATCCTTTAAATAAACCCGCATTGATGTTTTTCGCACGTCTTAAAGAGCAGTAATCCCCGAGAAGGGAAAAGGGCGGCAGAGGGAGAGCGATCTCCAAAGCCCTCTTTAACATTCACCCCGCTGCTTATTGCCCATTTCAAGGGGGAGAAAACATCCTCTCTATCAGGCACGCCTCTCCGTTTGAATTCCTGCAGAGTTCAAATGATGCACTGGTTTCCCAGGATGGCGTGGCCGCTGTAACGGACGCTGTAACGGACGCTGCGATGGCGCCGAGATCCGCAGGTGACACGATCCCCGTGTAAGGTCACCGCGCAGCCGACTGTGATCGCATACACAGGATTCTGCCTTTCAGGGGGGCTTTGTGCTGCCGGCGGTTATTCAGAGACAAACAGAAATGGTGTTCGATGGTATTGTGTGTGTGTGTGTGTGGGGGGGGTGCACACAAACACCCACTTCAACAGACGGACAAAAAGCGTCATTTAATTGGGCATTTACGGTTTCTACAGGTCCTGTCTGATTACACATTATGACAATATTATAACAGATGTCCGGACCAATAAAGCAAATTCCTGAAGGACTGTACGTAATGTGAGTAATGGATCAGGCCTATTTACCAGCATGGCCCATATGGCGCCGCGGTTTACTGGCGAATTGACAGCTGATAACGTGTCGATGTTCCTCTGGAGGAACCTGTTGGATCGGAGGGGGGTGGAGGGGACATCAGAGGCTCTTTCTGGGGCTCGCTCTAAACTCTGAGAGTCTGTTCAAACAAGGCCGCGGGCACAGGAACACAACCCTCCCAAGATGGACGTCAGGTTCCACATCCTGCAGACGGCTCCGCAGAGACAGGATGTTTATTATGATGCAAAAGCGCCGGTGCAAGACGCAATCACAGACACTCCCCTGCTGTGCATCACCATACAACAGTTAACTGGGGTGAAAGGTCATTCTAAATTATCAATATATATATATATATATATATAACATAATTTTTCCTCTTTTCAACTAATGTAATGGTCCAAAGTCAGTTCTGACGACTGTCGCTGGATAAAAACTATTTCATTTGATCGCTGCCAAGCACAAATGTATTTCACTCTCCCCTCTTCCTCCCCCTCTTCCTCTCCCTCCCCCTCTCGACCAAACCCTCCACGCGAAACGGAGAGATTAAAAGCAGACACGAGGGGCTCCAGGGAGAAGGTGGGGGAATAGAATCATCACTCACCTATTAGACTGGCCATAGAGGCCGTGTTGATAATCTTGCCGTATCCTCGCTTCAACATCACTCGACCTGCTGCCTAAGGCGAGGATTCAGGGGGAAGAGGCACATTAAACACGTGTGATGTGCTGCCGTAAGCCGGAGCAACACAAGACAACTCGCTCATCCTTTGAGACACAAAAGTGGTTTAACCACCCTTAGACACACACACACACACACGCTTAGTTTAGAATACATTTTAGTCTCGACAGAGCAGCTAAATCTTAAAGGTAAATAGTTGCACTTTAACAAGTTCTGACACAAACAAACGTTATCAATTTGCTTCCTTATGCACAGTTTCTCTGGTAGAATTCTTTTTTATAAATAATATCTATGATTAGTAATTCCATCTAACTCTCCATTATTCATACAGAACTAAATGTAATTATGTAAATAGGAATAAACATGGAGCTCTGTGGTTTTGCATCATTTTTGCCTGCTGAGCAGTGAGTTTGCTTCAATGATGAAGAAAAGCATTAATTGATCCTTTGTGTATTAAGAAAATGATGCCACTTCTAAAGCTACAAATACCATTTAAAAGCTGTATTGGACTAGAGACACACATGTGTTTTAATAACTAGAATCAGATAAATAACAAATCCCACACACTTTTCTACATTAGAAGTCGTTGCTTGTTAAAGTTCCGTAAAATAATTTCAGCAACAAACCAAAATATACCTTAAATAAGTGATCCATGCACAAGTGTACCGGTGTGCGTTCCACAGCTGCTGACCCACCTGACAGCACATGAAGGTCCCCCTCAGGTTGACGTTGAAGGTTTGGTCCCACTCCTCCAGGCTGGTGTCTTCACTGGCAGAGTTCATGTTGATGCCGGCGTTGTTGCAGGCGACGTCGATTGACCCCCATCTGGAGACAATGCTGTCAATCATCCTCTGAACGTCCTCCGACCTGCTGATGTCGGCTGTGATTGCGACGGCGTTGCTGCCTGTATCCCAAAACACGTGGGCCCGTTAGAGTTACGGTGGACATCTTGTGCAGGACACAAGCAACATTTTACAGGTTGATTTGATAAATGAGAATGTCGTTGGTGACGTGTCAAAAAAGTTGTTATAATAAATACTATTCAAAACGTTTTGCATTGATTGTTTCTTGGGGAAGAGATTTTCGGTGGGTTGAGAGGAACAGTAGTTTACGCTTTAGTGTGCTGCCACCTGCTGGTGGGTCCAGAGCACACGCACACTTAACGCAAGTGAACAGACCCCGTCTGCATGGACGCACATCGGGACTGAGGAGGTGCTGCTGTTCCACCAACTACTGCCTGAGTACCGAGAGGACCGAACGCCGTCCATCTGCCCGTCTGTCAGGGCAGACGGACGGCGTTCACCGGTTCCACGTGGAAATGAATACACTCATTTTCCTTCAGGAGTCATGAGATTGACAGTTGTTGTATGTACATGTTGACATGTACAGTATCACCACTTGTAGGTCTTCATCATACACAACCGCATCTGAACCAATCATTTAATGATGCACTCCCTGATTCGGCTGTAGTGTCAATTAAATATACTGTAGAAGCAGAACGCCGGGTCCATTTGCCATAAATCATGTTCTCTTTGTGAAAAAGGTACTTCACTTTTCAAAGTTTTGTTAATTAAGTTTGTTAAAATGACATAACTTCAAAGGGAATTGAATTATGCTTCACAAAGGAAGCTGGAGCTTAATACTAATACAGAAAATACACAGTAGAAGTCACACCAAACTAACTAGGTAGTATTTTATTTTGGGAGAGACAAAATGCACGAGCTGCATCTCCATTAATCAATATTTTAATAGTTGATTTTTTGTTTAGGAAATGACAAATATGGTCAGTTTCCAAAATGTCTAATGTGAGAGTGGTTCTTCGTATCTGACAATGAGCGTGAACTGAATCCCTTTGGGTTTCGGTAAGTATTGTTTGAAGCAGTGATCACTATTCTCTCAGTGAGCTTCCCACTACCTTCCCAAGCGCGACCCCGGTGACCTTCAGCTAGCGTAAAAATGTGAAGGGCCCCTTTAGGCTTAAAGGGCCCACTGGCCCCTTTAAGCCTGCGTCGGTTGCATCAGCACAGCTTCCTCTTCACCTTTGAGGAGGAGCTCTTTCGCCACCGCCTCGGCTTTATCTTGGTCCCGGTCCACCACGGCCACCTTGGCGCCGGCCTCCCCCAGGGCATGGGCGAAGGCGCGGCCTATGCCCTGCCCGGCGCCGGTCACGTAGGCCACCTTTCCATCGAGACGCAGCCGATGGAGAATGGGGAGCCCCTTGACCCCGCGGAAAACCTCGTCGTCTGTTATTTTACTCTGCGCACAAAGAGACGCGATAAGCAGAGCGGTTCAGTGAGAGCGAGGCGATCGCAGCGATGGCGCAATCACGTTTGATCCCGCGGATTCGTGGAGGTTCGGTCACTGGGGTTATCCAAACAGTACCTGTGTCCTTGCACACTCGGAGGCCGCAGATACCCGACGGATAACGCTGATGCCGTCTCTCAGAGGGATAATGACCTTTGACACAAGAAGGACATTGTTACAAAACCCAAAAAAAGCGGCAGGCACAAACACGCATATGTGAGCACGTGTGAAATGTACCTGCTCAACACGTGGGTCATCACACACAAACTGGTTGAACTTTCTGAGCGCCAGTCCATTGCTGTCCGTTGTGTCTTTCAGATAAACCTTGGCTTTGAACAGCGAGTTATCGACACATATGACCCCTCGCAATGTCACCAGATTGTTGTCCAGGATGAAGTTGTAGTAATTGATGTAATTGTCCTTGTCAGCATCAATGAAGACCACGTCAAACTGCTCACCTGCGGCAGCCAATTCCTGGAGGAGACTAAAAGTTATTAAAAACCGTCTGTGTGCCCCGCAGCATGTTAACTTATGAACACGCACACATGGAAAGAAGAGTCCGTGTTAACCGGCCTTCTGTCCTTATGCAAAGCACCCTAAATAACACAACACCTCTACCACTGCAAGACATTCATTACAGCAAGATGCTCCTCTGCGTTTCCTAAAGCATTATTAAATGATGGTCTCACCCTCAGGGTGTCCATGGCGGACCCCGTCCTCACAGTGATCTTCCTGCCATGTGGAGACTTGTCAAAAATGGGCTGAGCGAAGTCTTTGAGATACGGCTCCAGCTCGCAGGCGACTAAGCAGCCGTCCTCGGGGAGACCTTCGGCCATGGACAGCGCGCCGTAGCCGGTGAACATCCCGATCTCTAGAACCCGCTTAGCTTGACTCATGTGGATCAGCATCTTCAAGGTCTGGCCTGGCACAAAGAAAAAAAACAGACACACACATCCGACAGCAATGATCAAAACAGATGAAAACACGGTAAATAACGACCGTGTGGAGGCGAGCATGTCAGTGACAAACCTTCAACATGTCCAGTGATGCACTCCTTAGGAAGGCGGAATTTAGTTTTGCCCTCCTTGTGCACTTGATCCCAGTCATGGGAGACGGTCTTACTGCAATGAGAGACAGTGAAAGACAATATTAACACATCCAATCCCACACGCAGCATTTTTGAGTGACAGGTGCAGGAGGGCAGCACATACTTGTAGAGCTCTGCCAGAGGTTCACTTTGCTGTGTGCTCATGGTCTCCAGGTAGACGTCCAGGCCGCTGGCGATGTCCAGAGCCTTCTGCAGCGGGCGCGTCACCTCCTCCGGCACCGCGCCGCTCGCCTCGGCCGCTTCCTTAGCTCTGGTCAGGAGATGCACGAGGACCTCCAGCGGGGTGTCGGGAACTGGGGGGGTGGAGGGGGGGGCATGAAGTTATTCAGTCTAGAGCAGCTCCAGGGGATGTAGGCGAGGAGACATGCATTATAATAACACCATTTTCTAAAGGTTTTGGTCTGTGACTTTTTACTGAAACCGATCACGTGTAACAAAAAACAAATCATGCCACAATATATGAACCTGAATGTGACGTGCGTATCTTAACCGTGCGCGCCATTCACCCGCATTAAACCACGTTCACACACAAATACGTGCGTGTCACGTTATGGACTTTTTACATCGCGGTCCGTATTTCATTCGCGTCTCGTGGTGACGCGGACCAGGACGGACGCACGGACGCACGGCTCCATGAGCCTCCCCGGGCCGTAATGGAGTAATATCACGTACCTTTTTCGGACATCGTGGCGCGCGCGTATGGGCGGGACGATCTCGGGCACCTGTCGGCCGCGGTGCAAGTCGCCTGCAACGTGGTGGCAGACTTTTGGTTATATCACCACTGCTATGCAGAGCCTTGCGTAAAGGGGGCGTGGCTTGTGTCTTACACAACAGGTGAAAAAAAAGCACGTGAGAGAGTTACGGTTACGACACCGTCAGCCCAATTAAGGTGGGGAAGTTTCATTCAAACTATTACCTCCATTCATCTCAGCACTACATTGTTCTCCTACTGTACTGTACTGTACTGTACTGTACTGTACTATACTGTACTATACTGTACTGTACTATACTATGGATCAACACAAGCTGCTTTTCAACCGCTGCCTTTACTTATCATCCTTATTCTTACAACATGAAACCGAAGGTCTTACTGCAGGGCGGCACCATAATCTAACAGGTATGTGGGTTAAAGATGCAGATGTGACATTGGGAGCATTTCTACTGCCTGTTGCCAGTGTTTACCTGTAACCTCCTAACAGTTTGCTAACAAGTGGACACATGCAGGAACATGCAAGGGAAGGAGAACCGTGGATTACACACAGGGGGTGGGGGTGTGGGATTCATTCATTTTGTATATGTAAATGAAGGGATGAAAAGAAAGATGTGGAATTTACCACATATTTATTATGGGAAAATAGTAAATCCAAAAAGAGAAGAGTTGCATTTCCAAAAAACTCATTACACACCTGTAGTTCCATATTTTATTCTGACTTGTTTTGCAATCCATATTTAACAGGAATAATAAGCTGTTCAATTCAATCTCTTTTTAACTGTTGAACCAAAATAAAATAGCTTGTTGTAGCTTAATATGCAGACGGCCATTCGCTGGTGTGGGTCTGCACAGTGTTAGAAACCTTTTTTAAACTCTCACAGTGTGAATCACTTTGATCAAAACAGGTCATTTTGTTCGACACGACGCGTCTGAACATACTTCTTATTCACAGGGAGCACTTCTCCACCCAGGTGATCCGCAGGAACGTTGCATGGCACTGAACGATTATTTAACCAAATAATGTCAAAGGGCTGCAAGAATTCGCCTCAGGCCGTGATGTATTTGTTGCCCCTCACAAGCTGCAAGGTGAGGCATGTCATGGAGACGACTTTCTTTAGTTAAAATGCATCAAAGAGGGGCCCAGTTTTCCTCTTTATGTGATTCAATCCAATACCTGGAGGGTGTTGACGCAAATAATAGGTGCGTTTGAGAGAGACAGGATTGGCTATGAGTGAAGAAATGAACAGTTAAGTTTGGTAGCAAACGCACAGTAAAGTTTTAAGTCTGGGACCCAGAAATCAATGTTCTTCTCACTGCATGACCTCTGTGCGTTTGCATGTGATTGAAGAAGAGAAATCTAGAACGACGCATGTTAAAATAGCATTATAATATTGTTGAATTCTTGATTGAAGCCGTCCTCAATGAATGGACTCAAACCAAACTCAACTGCGTAGCGTGATACAGTCCAGCCATGTACCTGATCTCAGGTCTGCACCTGATGTCTCTCTGTGGAGGTATTTAAAGCACCGTATGAAAGCTCAGCGCTATGATACCTTTGAGGCCCCGGTTGTTGGTATTTATTTTTGACAGCACTGTAAGTGGGACAGACAGCACAACAATCAGTCAGTCGTCGGCTGGGAGGGAATGCTGTGCCAGAGAACAGGCCCTTCGGTTGCTGCACACACAAAAGGTTGCATGTCACGTGACTGTGGCAGATTGAACTATGGATAGTACGGGTTTACGGACGCCTTTTTAAGCTTCATTAAGATGAATATAGAATTTTTATCTCTTGTGTGGTCTAGGATCTGTTATCAGGAAAAAAAATTAAAGTTTTTAGGACCGTGAGATCACTTAAATAGTGACTTTATTTGGCAATAGGAATGGTGAAAGATGTAATAGCTGCTTATCACCAATTCTGAGAAAGAGGTTGAAACCAAAAGGGCGAGATGAAGAAAAGAAACAACTTTAAAAAAAAAAAAAATTAAAGATATATATATACATATGTATATGTATATATATATATATATATATATATATATATATATATATATATGTATATGTATATATGTATATGTCTTTGTTTTATGCATAGCAAGTTATTTAAGACGATACTCACAGCCTGATTCGTCAGTCAGAAGAGCAGGTGTTACCTCACAGTTACACAAAACTTGTATAAGTCGGTGCACGTGGGAGGCAGACGGACGGCGATGCTCCTCCCTTGGCCAGGGGGCATTCTCTAACAGTTACACACTACTTAAAGAGTCCTATGGTGCGCTTCACATCAACGCTGTGGCTGCTTCTGTTCAGCCCTGTTAGGTCCACTTACCACCACGATAATGGGAAAAGGCCATCTTAAAGGGAACGATTCCAAAGAAAAGAAAACTGAGTTTAGTTTAGTGCGCGTCATGGGTACGTGGAAGTGTAAACTGGGACACAAGGTCAATAAGGACACAGCTGACTGTGTTTCGGCTGCAAAAATGTGAGTATTACAGTAATCTTTAGCATTATTTGATTAAAAATAAGTAACAAGCATGGCTCAATATTTGACATAAGACAGATCTTTATGAAATTAGACCGCAACAAATACTGCCTTGAAATCTGGATTGATATACAGTAGTTAAAAGCACAGTGCAAAGTGGTTTCTATACAAATTATTGCAGAAGTTGAGATTAAAATCTATCGCTTTGGTAGCTTCCTTATATTTTAACATACCTGTGGTTGGAGCTCTTGTGATGTTGTAAGATGCTGTCCGGGGGAAAAATCTGACTAAACTACTAAACTACTTAGTTGATGTTGTGGTTGTGGTTGAGGAAAGTTGCCTTGTGGCAACTAATTAACCTGCTAGTAGAAAGCCTTTGAACTGGGGTCTCCAGGTTCAACGTCCCATTCTGTGGATGGCTCACCCTGCTTGACCTCTGATCCTTAGAGGTTGGACACCTCTCAGTTTTGGCACTGTACATCATTTTACATCACTCCCATAATTCTTCTCTGTCAAAAAACATTAATTCTGTTGTCCTTATTTGAACCAAATTGCATTGCACCACTGTGCCAACTAGTAGAAACGCATCACCTTTGTTTAAAGTTCAAACACATCTAAAAGGCTGTTGGTTGGATTATAATTATAATTATCAATCATTGTGTGGTCAAACAAGAAACACTGCTTCTCTGCTGCACCTTACTGATACCTTTCTGCCTCGAGCGTATCAATGAGTGGAGTTGGACCTGTGACTTGCTGTCACAAGTAGCAGTTTTGTCACCTTGAAAGGAATGAAAAAGTACTCCATCTTCAGGGAAATTAATTTAGCTGTCAATCAACACTTCGAAAGGTGTGTTTGGCTTAAGATCAGTCCATACATGTAGGAGTTGGGTTAGAACGAGTTTTTGGCGTGACTATTCCAAGTACTGTTGTCTGTGACCTAAGGAAACTAAAAGGTGTTGGATTAAGATGAAGAGACGGGAATGCAACAAACAAAAGTACTGCCATGTAAGAAAAAAATCCTTCTGACACTGATCATAATGCCAAAAATAATCACAACACACTGTTGATCACACTGTGTATGTTTGTACCTTCATTATATTCAGTCTCCAGAAATGGGAAATCTTTTTAAAGATTTCAGTAACATCAGTGTTGTACTAAACTGCATTAGTTTTGTGATAATGAACTGGTGTGTGAAGAGCACAAATTCGTGCCAACATCATGATTACTTTGTTCATGTGTTTTTGTGGCAGCTATGAGAGCATCACAGAGCAGGGCGCCAGTTGGACGGTGGTCAGCCCCATTGTGTTCACCTACAAAGTCACTGAGACTCGGCACTTGCTGGACCCGAGCAACGACACGCTCCTGCTGGGCCACATCACCGACCCGCAGCAGCTGGACGACATTCAAAAATCAAACAAGCCAATCAAACGCTTCCTGGTCGTTGACCAAGAAGTCTACAGAATCTACGGTACAAAGATCACTGCATATTTAGAGGCTAACAATGTTCTGTACAAGATCTTGTCTTTACCCACCACTGAGGAGAACAAATCCATGCAAATGGCCTTGAAGATCCTGGAGGAGATCAACAACTTCTCCCTTGACCGCCGCACGGAGCCCATTATCGCCATTGGTGGCGGCGTGTGCCTGGACATAGTGGGCCTGGCCGCCTCCCTCTACCGAAGACGCACTCCGTACATCAGGGTCCCGACCACACTGCTCTCCTACATCGATGCCAGCGTGGGGGCCAAGACGGGGGTTAACTTTGCAAATTGCAAGAACAAGCTGGGCGCCTACATTCCACCAGCCGCAGCCTTCCTCGACCTGTCCTTCATGCAAACGGTTCCCCGACGACACATCTCCAACGGGCTGGCGGAAATGTTGAAGGTACGTTAAAGTCCCTGAATGTGGAATCTTTACCCGAAAAGTCGATAACCGTAAATATGAACTGCTTCACAGCGATGAAAGCACTATTATTGCCCGTGGCTCTGACCCAGCAGACCACTGGGCGTGTGGTGGGGGAAAGGTTCTGTACTTTACCTACGCAAGTTTCTTAACAAACATTGTTAGTAAGTTCTTATTAAAATGAGACCATGTGTGCATTTTACTAACATCTGCTGTGAACATGGAAGAGAAGAAATGTGTTCATGCGACGAGCAGAAACGGACGCCTCCCTGCCACGAACAAAACTAGTGCTACAGGTGAAACCAGAGCGTTTTAGCTTGAAGCAAACCGGGCCACATACCAAGCACTGGTATTCGGCGGGGGGCGGGGGGAGAATGTCGTGGCAGTTTTAAAGCCACTAATCTAGAAGTGAAGTTATGTGACGTAGCCTTATTTGCTTGTGTTTGGGTTGCTCATCCATTCCTCCTTTGTGCTCCTGCAGATGGCCCTGATGAAACACCGAGGCCTCTTTGAGCTTCTCGAGACGCACGGCCGCATGCTGCTAGACACTAAATTCCAGGCCGACAACAGCGTGTACGGAAACCACTGCTTACAGGCGGCATCGCAGGCGACTCGTATAGCCATTGTAACCATGCTGGAAGAGCTCGCCCCCAACCTGTGGGAGGATGACCTGGACAGACTGGTTGACTTTGGCCATCTCATCAGCCCAGCATTAGAAATGGTAATGATGCCTCATGGCAAACCTGGCTCAACACTATATGAGGCATATTGTATGTATTTGATTCTGTGTCAGTCCGTAAAACTCGCAGGAATAAGGTGGCCATTCTATTCTCAGGGCAAATATCCACATGCTCACACCATCTCTTTTGAATACAGAACGTTCTCCCATCTCTGCTGCACGGGGAGGCAGTGAACGTCGATATGTCGTACATGGTTTACGTGTCCAGAGAGCGCGGCCTGTTGACAGAAGACGAAAAGCAACGGATCATAAGCTGCATGCTGGGCCTGGAGCTTCCGGTCTGGCATGCAGCGTTTACCATGGAGCTCATACAGAAGTCTCTGCAGGATAGGCTGAAGCATTCGGGAGGCCTGGTCAGGATGCCTCTGCCGGTTGGTCTTGGGAAAGCGGGTAAGGATCACTTTAACTGGTCATGGTAGGGCTGGTTGGAGAACTATTGCTGGTGTGTTTTCACCTCATAAAAGAGGGACCAGACTGGGTTTTAATTAAAGGACAACCAACTTATTTCTTAAAGATTAATTTGACATAGTTATGATTTGTATGCAACTAATATATTAATATTGTATTTAAAGCATTTTCTTTTGCTCTCCTTTCTGTCGTTGCAGAAATTTCTAATGACACACCTTGTGAGATCCTGCACAAAGCTTTTGTGAAATGGTGTGATGAGCTGAGCGGCCCCTCTGACAGCAACTGACTAACCTGAGATTACCACAGTTTTTACATTTTGTATGTACTGTAGGCGTGTAAAATCCTATTCTGGTTTTGTACTCTAGTTAATCTTCGAATTATAAGAATATTATGTATTTTCACCTCATGGCATCAAGATAACCTCATTAGCAGTGCTACAGGCAGCTCTCTCTTGTCAGCAAATTGTCACAATAGCAATATGAATCTTTAAGTGTTTCAAAGCAGCACAATCAGATTGAAGTAAACTATATATTTCTGTCTTGTAACAAGCAGCTTACCAACTACTACACTTACAAGTCTCTGAAGTCTATTTGAAACCATCCTCATTAAAGATTTGTTCAGTTATCAAATCATGTCCTTGTGTTTTAGTAAGTTGTCGCTGACATTCTCCTACTTTCATCTATTTTCTTTCAATGCTATTTTGTTTCTGCTTTTAAACAACAAGGCAAAGGCCATGCTGCTCACAAATGAGTCTGACGTAACGTCAAGTTATTAAACTTGAATGCGCATTTCAACAAAGGCCTAGTGTGAAGGCTGTAGGGGCCTCCAGTGGGCTGCAGTGTGTGAAGGCTGTAGGGGCCTCCAGTGGGCTGCAGTGTGTGAAGGCTGTAGGGGCCTCCAGTGGGCTGCAGTGTGTGGAGGCTGTAGGGGCCTCCAGTGGGCTGCAGTGTGTGAAGGCTGTAGGGGCCTCCAGTGGGCTGCAGGGGCCTCCAGTGGGCTGCAGTGTGTGAAGGCTGTAGGGGCCTCCAGTGGGCTGCAGTGTGTGAAGGCTGTAGGGGCCTCCAGTGGGCTGCAGGGGCCTCCAGTGGGCTGCAGTGTGTGGAGGCTGTAGGGGCCTCCAGTGGGCTGCAGTGTGTGAAGGCTGTAGGGGCCTCCAGTGGGCTGCAGTGTGTGGAGGCTGTAGGGGCCTCCAGTGGGCTGACATGTCAATACTCCGGTAATTTAGCACCAAGGCTTGTTTAATACTTTGATTTGAACATCCCTACCTTCAGATAACATGAAACGCAAACGGCTCACGCTTCAGCCAGTGTATAAATGCCTTTTTCAAGAAAACACTTTTTTCTTAATTTATGAGAAACTCAATACTTTTTGGTGGAATGCTGATGCATGATGCATGCTTTTGCATGCTTGGAATTTGACTCCGGTCATTCTCCGATCTCGACGGAAAAAAAAGATCAGATGTAAGTGTAGGCTAAAAATGTACATATACATCCCAAAAGAAATGAGGTGCTTTTCAACAACCATATTTGCTTTATGCAGTAGAAGTTAAGATATTTATTTTATATTCTCAATTTGATTAAATAAAATAAAATATAAAAATCTGATTAATTGTTCATAAGGATGTAGTCCTAAAACACCTCTGATAATCTCCTAATCTATATCTACGGTTTGGACACGTTAATCCATTCTGAGCACTTGCAAATAACAGTGTGGTCTTCTTTCATTAATAATACACTCAAAAAAATGTCACCGTAAATTAACGGTATTTTACTGGCAGCAAGGACGCCAGTACGGTATAATACCGGAAATGGTTTTAACATTATGTTACCGTAAAATGGATTACTGTATGTTACCGTAAACTTGAACGAATTTGACTGAATTAACTGCAATTTACTGGCAGTCGACGCTAGTAACTGTGAGGGGTCAGGATTTCGACTCAGGTGCAGAGCAATAAGGCACAGAAGGTTCTTTGCAGGTTTGAAATCCTTTACTAGAAAAATAAACTAATGCAAGACAAAAGGGTGCACAGGCGAAGGCGAAATCCACACGCTCTTGAAGAAACAAAAAAAGGAAGAGAGCCTGGCAACGAAGTAAAAAAACAAGTTTACCAAAAACAGCACTGGGGACTTCTAACTACAAACATACACCTCTAGGAAACACAAAAGATAACCTGACACAGACAAGTGGGGAACTGAGGCTTAAATACAGGTGGGGGTGATTGCAAACTAAACTCAGCTGTGGGGGGAAACTAGATACAGGAAGTGCCGTGGTTACAAAAATAAAACAGGAAGTTAATCTTCACCGTCTCTTCGAGTCGTCACAGTAACTTACTGTTTTATTTACAGTGCCCTACCGTAATTTACGGTATGTTGTTGTATATTGGATTACAGTTTGTTACCATACGATTACTGTTTTTGTGTTATAAATACTAGAGTGTTACCGTTTACTTATAACCGTATACTTTTGCATTTAATTCCTCACAAATTAAAGAAAGACAACCAAACTCATTTCGGTCATAGTGGTTGGAGTTAATTAGATGCCTTTAAGACAAAAATGTTAGGCCTTTGTAACCCTGAACAAAACATAAAATATGCCGCATGTATACAATAATAAAAAAATGAATCATTAGGAACAAGATAAACTAACTGCAGCAATACGCTATGGAACACTTTCAATTGACCGCAGCAAACGGCTGGCGTCCTTAATCCAGAGCCTCTGTAAAACAAACCAAAATAAAATATTTAGAAACACTGTCATTGGTCAAATATTCAAATTACAAAGTTGAGGAAGACAACAAGATGTAAGGAAAGAGAATGTTAATCATGAAGGCAAATAACACTTTCCAACGTTACTTGGAGAGACGAGCCAATGAGAAACTCCCATGTTGAACAGCTCAGGTGTTCTGGATGAACTGAGATTACGTCTGACGTCACGTTCAGGAGCAGTCGGTCACGATTGACACTCAAATCACTTTTAGGCAATGAACACTTTGAATAATACAAATATTTATAATCTTTACATTCCAGCCACTGAAACGACAGCGAAGGCCACCTAACCCCCAATTACTCGACTTAAAATGATGTCAAACCATGGGCGGTAAAAGTGGATAAAAGTGACAGCTGCATGTATAGGCATGTCCTGTAAGTCAAAGTCATCTCATTATGATGACTTACAGGACCTGTTTTTCAGTGGCTGACATGGGCTTCCATACATTAACCTACAACAGATGTAGATGGATTGTGATTCACTGCACTTGTATGTGTATTTCCACCACTTCATAAAATATATGTAACATGCAGTTGAATTACGGTAGTCTGCTGTTATTGTAAATTGACAACTTTAACTGTTTATTCATGACATTGGCCGTTAATTTACAAGCAAGGGATGGAAACTTAACTGTATCTTACAGTTATTACGACATACTGTAAGATACCGTTAGAAATGCACCGTAAATTTACAGCAATTTGTTACAGTGTACTGCTACGCTTTTTAAATTATACTACAAATAAATGTAATATAGCCATTTATTATTAAAACAGAACAATTGAAAACATGCTGATTTATAAAGGTAAAATATTTGAAGCAAAGAATATGACATTACAACAATTTCCATGCAGACCAGTATTGTAATCATGGCACATTTAAGAAGCCACGATGACGCACTGCTCGTACTCAGACTTTATTGCAGCAATAAATCACTGTGTGTTAACTCCAGGTCCCCTGTAGAGACGGTGTTCTACATTACCCATCCATTCGCTGTCCCTGTGTCCTGCAGCCTGTCTCAGCACGTAATGACCGAACTCACTCAAGATAGGTTGCCAGAACATTGCTACAAACGTCTGTCTTCAACTTCTTATTCTTCTGTACTGAAGAGTACGTTAATAATAAGAAAAGCCCCCAAAACATTCTGTTACGTCCAGTGTTGAAATCTTTCCTGCTGAGAAAGCGTGTTCTGTCTCAGAGAAATGTGGCAATAAATTATTATAAATGGTAAATATTTCAAGAATACGTTTTATTTACAATGTTTCTATGTGAAGGATAAATACATAACAGCAAGGAAACAATACAAGTTATTTGACCCTTTGTATGCTGCATTCTGCACAAGAAATGTGACATAAAAAACATCCGTCACACACAAGACTGACGGATAAAACACTGGCACTATATACAATATATCATCATGTTGTTCATGACATATTTACAATAATAGCAAGAGATAACAAAGCATTAGCAAGAAAATGTAAAATGGCATCAACAACTTTGGTCCAAACAAAAAGAAATAAGAGTTCCCTCCGAATACACCCCTGATGCAGAAATATGAATAGTTAATACAGTTTGGTCCAATTAAAAACCCTCAAATAAAAACCAGTGTCTTTATTTCTAAATGTTTGGACTTTTACTCCTTTTTAACATTTGGGACAAATATTACAAATATTACCTAACCCTACAAAAATAAACCTTAAAGTTGTTTGACCTTTGAGAGCAGATTGTCGTCATATTCGTCACCTTGCAGCCAATATATTTATTTATTTTTATACAGAATCCAAGATCAAAAGAATAGTAAAGCTGTACAATTATTTTGAACATTGTGGATCAGCAATGAATTCGCAACAAAATGTAAGAAAAATATGGATTTAAGATGAATAAAGTTTGTACGAATTAAAAACCCTCAAATAAAAACGAGTGTCTTTATTTCTAAATGTTTGGACTTTTACTCCTTTTTAACATTTGGGACAAATATTACAAATATTACCTAACCCTACAAAAATAAACGCTTAAAGTTGTTTGACCTTTGAGAGCAGATTGTCGTCATCATTCGATCACCTTGCAGCCAATATATTTATTTATTTTTATACAGAATCCAAGATCAAAAGAATGGTAAAGCTGTACAATTATTTTGAACATTGTGGATCAGCAATGAATTCGCAACGAAATGTAAGAAAAATATGGATTTAAGATGAATAAAGTGTTTATGAAATAACTGATCCACTTAGTGTTGAGGACGTCATCGATGTGATGGGAAGTGTCAGCGTGCTAACAGCCATGCTCCTTCTCATCCATACTCGAGCTGGAACTGTGGAGGCTGCTAGCGTTGGAGCCTTCTGGGGACATCGAGGACAGCAGGGGATCACTTGGGGACATCGGCGACAGGGTGTCCCTCACCAAATCCTTCAAGTTACATGTCCTGGAGTTTCCATAGGGACCAGCGTCCCCGCCGTCTGCAGGAACATGATCGAAGGTGATGGTGCCGTTGTTGAGGTCCAGCGTGGTGGGAGGGGACATGTCTGGGCCCGAGCTGTGTTGGTACAGCTCCACGGGGCAGTCGCCAATGACGGGCTCCTGTTTAATGGATCGGCCCATCAAATCCGATGTGCAGACAGGCGAGGAGGACACCACTGTAAGACCATGGGCACGGGCCTGGATTTCCAACTCCTAGAGGTCAATAGGAAAATACAAAATATGATTATATAAAACATACTCCTACACTGGGAAAGGTATTTTTCCTCCATCTGTGAGTCCTTTGAGCTAAAGGCGAACGTCAGCATGCTAACATGCTCACTGAGACAATGCTAACATGATGTAAGTTCTCCACATTTCCCATATGAAGCTGAAGCGGAAGTTCAGCCAGGAAGACAATCTTTGTCTCACTTTAAGTTAACCAGTCAAACTTTTAAAACGTTCTCCTGTCTGCTGCTGCTGCTCATTTCAGAATAAAAGTGACCCGCCTCCACCCGTCAGTCATGTGCCTCATTCATCAGTGGATTCCAGCGACTCCCTTCATGCATCAGGCCTTATCCGACCTCAGCACCCCTGCACTTCAGGATGCAGTCAAATCGCCACAGACTTTGCACTCTTAGTCGAAAATGCATACAAACATACTACTGATGCCATTCATAATACAGTATGATGGTGCGAGTGTGTGCTAGCATGTATGTTATTTTGTGTAAGCAGTAATGCCTACATGTATAATAAATAATTCATTAGAGTAGGAGCGCACTGCAGACACTCAACTGCCCCTCGGTGTACTTTATCTACGCAGCCTTTTTGAGCCAAGTCAAACGTTTACAGAGATCTGGAATTGACTAATTCTGTTGTCAGCATTCAACAGACAACATTTCAGTCAGTTGATCACCAAAATGGTAATGATTCCTCTTGTGGGGAGACATCAATGTGTACAGAATTTCCTTCTAATTCATCCAATAATAGTTGGCAGTGTATAATATTAATATGGATAGACCACAACTGCACTGAAGAAATAGAGGAATACAAGTGGGCTGCAGTTACTGTACTTTTTTGCTCCACCAAAGACAAATGACCCACCTGTATACGAAGCAGCAGATGGCGGTTTGCGTGCTCCACTTTCCTCTGTCGGCACTCGAGCTCCTTGGCTCTCTGCTGCTCCCGCTGCAGCCTCCTGATGTAGTCCACCGAGGCTTTGAGAATGGTGCCCTTATTCCAGCGCATGTCTCTGGGGTATCCAGGAGACAAGAGGTCTACAGTCAGAGTCAGCTGACCAGCTGACCAAAAGAGCACAGGACTCTTTACAGCCCCTCTGAGCATCTGAATAGATGCGTCCCTGCACACAAAGGAATGCAAAGCGCACTTACGGATCGTTTGACTTCGGTATCAAGGTTCCCAGTTCTTTGATGCGATCGTTGATGTTGAATCTCCGTCTCCGTTCAACTGGAATTTGTCATACACAATAAACGTTAACTATGACTGAGGCTAATTTTACAAATAAATCAACTTGTTTTTACAAATGTATTTATTTATGTCTGAATTTTCTCCAATGCTATTGGGAATATCATTTGAAAAGCAGCCAGTGGAAGCTAATATTTGCAAAAAAAGTTGAAAACAGTATTTCGTCAAAAAAACTATTTAACTTGTTGAAACGTGTGCGACCTCATTCTGCTAGAATGACTTCATCCTTCTGATGATTGTGTACAGATTGACTCACTTAAGTTGTGGTTGTCTTTTTTCTGCCTCTCTTTAGCGAGAGCCCGGACTTCAGCCTCTGTGAAGCAACAAGAAAACGTTACTCTTTAACTTCAAGATATATAAAGTGAATAGAATCCTAATAGCAACTATTTTTTGTCCACTAGAATTTTAACGGACACACACGCGCTCTCTGTTCTTCTGTGCTTACCTACGGGGAAGCCCTCCTGCCTCTGGTAGTTTTCATACATGCCACAGGTATCAGACTTGTCCAGCACTTGCTTCATTCCAGGAGCTGGAGGAATTATTTGGCAAACAATGGAATCACGTAATCAGGATGTTTCCAAATTACACACAATAGAGATGTTGACCTACGATCATGCTGTCCTTATTGTAAGTCGCTTTGGATAAAAGCGTCAGCTAAATGACATGTAATGTAATGAAATGTCCTCTTATACAATCCACTGAAAACTGAGATGATTTCCCCTTTTAACAGAATAATTTACATTATGATTCTGAATCAGATCTTGGATAAATAAAACTAACTAACTTTTCTTGGTGTACGCCTAAATGAGATCTGACTTTCTGAGAATCAGACACTTAAACTGATATTGGAACAATTCCTTCGTCTGATGGACAGCACTCATCGTATCGTTTGCAGCTAAATGAATGCAGATTACATTGAGGACAGAGAAAGCAGTGAGAAGAAGAAGCACTGAACTGGAGGAGAGATGTTAGTGATTTACCTGGGTACTCTCTCTTGATGTTGCTTGGACAGGAGCTGCTGATAGCGAGGCCCGGCAGGGGAAGCCCTTGGCTGCCGTACACATCGAGAAGGTTCCCAGACACAGGGAGCTACAGAGTATCAAAGACACGACTTCACTGTAAAGACACAGTATGTTTTGTATTCAAATTCAATTCAAACACAGATACTTATACATATTACAGATACAGTGATCTTCACAATAAGCCATTTATCATTTTGTCTTTACCGGGTTGTTCATCTGGAGTCCCGGGTCCATAAGGCCGAGAACATCATCATTATAACTCGACTCCAAGCTTATAATGTCATCGATGACGTCGTCCATCTGTGTGGGACAGAAACCGGCAGCGTGAATACCCGCGGCGCGTTGATGTCTGAATGTAGTCCCGTCTGAAGCGGCGGTCGTACCTCTTTCTCACAGTTGGAGCTGAGGGTGAGCAGGGCCATGGGACTGTTGGGGGCACTGCTGCCGTGCCCGGGCGGCATGCCGTGCTCGGGCGGCTGGCCGGGGCACTGGCTGCCGGCTTTGCCCCCCAGGCTGGTGGACAGATACTGCCTGACCTGCTGCCGCTGAGCCTGCTGGATGTGGTACTTGTTGGGGTTCTCCAGGTGGGACTGCACCTACGTGAGCACGACGCAATCATTGCAACCCGGCATTTCTTCCTTCTATCAACCACTGTAGGACTTTTACACGAAACAGGAACAGTGGATTTTCTAAACAGGTCGTGATATTTAGAAAACTACTTTTGCTTTGGTGATTTTACTGTTGTGAATCCAAATATTCAAGTTGAGCTGCATCTCTGTTACAGTAAAACTGCCAATCCAAGGTGTTCTCTCTGCGGTTAAGTGCAGAACTATCACATGTTCTTTGCGTCCACGCAGCCCCTAAACAACTCATGCAGCGATATTAAAATCTTCTCTGTTGTACTGGAACATTTCAGCAAGTGTTGATTCCTACATGGAGCGTTACAGTCAAAACAAAATAATTCAATGTCAGCATCTTCAGATTCTTTTTACCCATTTTCTTTTCTCACGATAACAGCAAAAACAAAATGAGCCCTCACCTGATAATGGCTGTATTCAAGCATTTCCAACATCTTATTTGATTATCAATTGATAAAAATATTTGAGATAAAAATAGTCCCTTTATCTTGTTGCCTCTGACCAGCAAGCTAGCATGTGAAACTCTGCGAGGCGTCACTGGTCCTGCTCAATTTATCCAGACTTATCGGCTCATTAGTTATGCAAGTTAAGGGGTGGAGGAGGACACTGAGACTCGTCCTCCCACTGCTTTGTTTTTCCACTTTAACTATGATTTTTTTCTTCATAGAGCCCATTTGACGTCACCACCTACTGCTCACAAAGAAGCCTTTTGACTGATTGTCCAGTGGCCTGTGACTCGACGCTTGCTCAAGGCTAACTAACGTTTAATCATTAGTTCTGCTCATCTGGTATAAAACATTATTTGTTCTGAGCCCCGGGAACACAATTGACACCATTGTATCGCTAAAAACTAGCCGTATTAAATTGTGAATTTATTATGAATTTTTGGGATTCGGGGTTGATTTCATTTGCCGTCTCAGTTGCTGTGCAGTCCCATTGGCAGAGTAACGAAGGTGAAATGTTTGAATTCCAGGCTTAGTGGTAAAGTTTGGATTAAAGTATTTAGGTAAGCGCTTGTCCAGCTCACGTCGGCTTCGTGTATCAAAAAAAAAGCTTTTCTGTTGTACCGTCTAAATGTGTTAGTGAATGAATATATCAATGTTTGTCAAGGAAATATTTAGATAATGAAGGATCTACAGACAAATTGTCACATGTTAAGTATAAATGGTCACATGACCTGTTTACTTCCTGGCAGCGCCGAGAAGAGAGGACGTCTGCATCAACGTTTCAACAGAGAGCTGTTAAAGTATAGTAACAAGAAATAAAAATGGGACGGCGTCACATAAAAGACTAAGTCTACAAAAATGTGTTGTAAAGAGATTAAAGAGATTTCTGCCGTATCTCTGCCTCGTGTCCTCTGGCAGGTTCTTCCAAATCACGGCCCCCTTTAGTTTTTAGCCACAAGGAGCCCACCGAGTGTTTAATGCTGCCAACTGGCTCACAGGAGGTCAATATTTCCTCTATATATTCAGGGGCCATCCCGATACGGGGAAAATGTTTAGTCAAATCTTAAAATAAACTCATATGGAGGCGCGACTGGGGTGATGTGACCAATCAAATGTTATGTAAATGTAAATGACTTTGCCATAACGCTTGATGCCAGACAGGATGGATTCAACATTTCAGAACCTGCTGAAAATAACTAACAAAAAGTATATATTTTGAAAAATGACTCTCCCAATTACAGCGCTTGTACCTGCTGTCACATTTCAAGATGCTCGTCTCGGTCACGCACGATATTTGCTGCAAAACTAAAAATGGGCAAAAAAACATCTTTGGAGAGCTTCTCTGTGAGAAGGGAAAAGACGTCCTGAGGAGTCGCGTTTATCCGCCACACCTTCAAGACCGGCGGCAAAATATCGTCTGACATGAAAATGGTCCGTGAGGTAAAAAGCGGTTGGGGGCCGCTGGTGGAGAGTGGAGCTGAAAATAGGCTCCGAATTTGAGGTTATCAACACAACACCACCTGAATGAATGAATGTGTGGTGGTGCAATCGTGTGGAGGAGACACCGTCTCATTGTCCGGTTTTCCAATGAAAATTTAGAAAAATAGTGACTGTTAATGTCAAGTAAAAAACAAAGGGGCAAACAAAGAAACTGACTGTTTTTCTCTTGCTGATGCCTATTTATGGCTTTTGTTTTTGTGAATCAGTTGCTCTGGAAGCGCGAGGTGATTGACTTGTGGAAAAGGTTGCAGGCATCGTAGAACAGTCACCGTTGCAAACAGGCCGGGACCGATCCAATGACACGATCCCCTTCAAATGCTGTGTAACATGCACAAAGAACAGACTAGAACGAGCCTCGAGGAAATCATATAACAGTAAGTTTCATCCCAAGAACTGCCAAATCCCAAACAACCCTGTTGCTTTTCTCCTCTAACCGTTACGGCCTCTACGGTCCGCTCAGTCTTTAATAGTTGAGTTCATTAAAGATACGCACCGTCTCAGAGTTCACTGTAATAGTGTATGTAAAATACTATCTCATTGCAGGTGGACTTATTATGCCATTGTGACTGTAAAAGTGAACCACAGTTGAACTGTTGACAATGAATGCTGGTGTGCAACGCGTCCGGTTGGAAGAAAGTATTCTACAGCTTATTTTATATTCAGAAATATATTTATCTCATGAAATGTAAAACAAAAAATCCCAGTTGGGAATAAATTGGTCAATAAAGTAGGACCCAAACAAATGATTTAGTTCACATTTTGGATGTTCAGAGGCGGTTGTGTGTTGGTCAATGACACACAATAATGTCTGCGGTTGAAGCAGATTCACTCTTTTGTAGAAGAATCGGCTTCTTTGTCTGTGCATCACTGCACTGTAGAGTAAAGAGTAAAGTAAGTGACTTTGGTTTGGTTTTCTGTCCTCAGCAGGGGGATTCACAGGTTTTGAAACATGAAATGAGAAAATGTAGAATAATCTTAAATGATCTGAAAGCAGTTTGTTGTGTAACAGCTGCATTGGACTAATCATTTCTTCCGGCAAAACAATACTTGTAGCTTTTTAAAGCTCTCCGGAGGAATAACTTTGGTGTCACACCAAATTCCTTCACAATTTGTGCCGGTTCAACTGTGGAGTATAATGCCACAGTGCTGTGTATTAATAATGCACTCAGCTACAGCACTTATTTACGGAACCCCCTCAGGCAAATTTGTGGTATCGAGCTATATGAATAAAATTGGCTTCACTTCGATTCACATTTTGTCACCAAATCTGATGATGAGAATCTGCTATTACAAGCAAAGCAAACAGGTTAGTTGACTGACGAGAGCTCATGCGATGATGTTGAATAGTTCTGAAGCCCCAGAAAGAAACGTCCATCCAAGGAATTGAGCTGCCTCATCAGCTTGGCGGCTAATTCAGTGGACGGCCTGCGTCTGCATCCCGCGTCACGCTGCTCGGGCACAGAGCAACCCGTCCAGGAGCAGCAGAGGTGAACACATGCGAAGGGCCTCTGGCTGCACGCAGCCCTGTACGATATGAGGCACAGAAAGGGATCTTTGTAAACACATAGTGGAGCTTTTCTTTGCCCCCCTCCACAGCGTGGGCTTTTCCTTCAGACAAACCTTTGGGTTGAGAATGAACTATCTCATTTAACCCTGCAGGCAGCCGAGCTCGCACGTTATTCATGGTGAGACAGAGGTTTATTACCTTCTCAAGGAGAGCACGTGGGTCCATGTTTGAGACGCCTTGAGGACCAGTAACCTTTGGAGAGATAGTCGTCACTCTTTGACCACTGAAGAAACAGATCCATTCATACCTCCCATCTTTCTTACGTCCTTGGTAACAAGCCACACTTGGAGGCATTTTCATGAAAGCAGCTTGTTGAGAAGTGGACTCTTCTTTTACATCAAAGGAGGACAACGATAAACCAGGCGCCTGATTATAGTAAAATATACAGACAATGATTCCTTAACTCATGACTGTGTGCTGTCCAATCTCAGCCCTCCTCGCTTAACTTTACTCCTTTACATGAAGGGGCAGTCGTTCAAAAGTGCTTTTGCTCTCATTGATTTAGCAAATGAAAGAAGAAATAAACACATTAAAACATTTAATGTCTGCACAATGAAACCAGGCATCAGAACACGGGAATGCTTGAGAATTGAACTATATAGCTTGACTAAAACCTGCGTGACATGCTCTCTGTATTGTTAGTGGGATGTATGGGAAGTCATTACCATTAAGTATGAACTAGTTCGATTTTACTGTGTTCTTGGTATTTAGTTTCTGCTTATCAGAATCTACAGGCGCAAACAGATGAATTTAATTTATACTTCATGTCTAGGAATGATTACGTTTACAGCAAGATATGGATTTATTAGATTAGCGGCAGAGCAAATTGATTCTATCTACTATAAAAACTCAAGATTAAGACAAAGAAGAGACCAAGTCAACTTCATATGTAAGAAAAATGTTCTTGCAAATCAGCAAAAACCTTTGGTACCAATAGAGATATCAGTGTCAGAACATGTGACATTAGAACACATTTTTACAGTGGCCAATAAGAAGCTCAGCCTGTGCTGCCAAAAATCCTAATTAAGTTCCTCTAATGCGAAAAGATGACAGTTCTTCATGTACATCTAAAGCAAGCCAACTTATCAGTGCCATTGAGTTTACTTACAATACTTCAACAAGTGGGAGTGAGAAGAAACATATTCAACTCAAACCCGATCGATTCCTTAACGTAAGAAAGTAGTTTCAGTTCTGTTGTCTCTAGTTTGTGATTTCCATGATGGTCAAAAGCAGTTTTGTATCAACAAGCTGCACCCAGACGCTGGTGGTTGGACTCGGGTTGAAGCAGTAAACCCTTAAAGGAGGGAAAAGGCGTTTCTTTGCTTTGTTTTGAGGGCTGTTTTTGAATCGCACGCGGAGTTTGTTCGGATCCCAGTAAATCCATCAGTGAATCCAGCCTCATTACTTTTATGAGGTCAACAATAAGCTCGGAAGTGACAATCAGCCTCTTTCACGACGATGAAAACAATAATTCAATTATTCACTTGCGGCTGATTTCATGCAGAGTCTTGACATTTGTAACCTCACTTGTAAACGATAAGAGCCCACACATAGAAATGGGTTTTGCTTTTGTAAAGTGGTCTCGGCCCGAAATACAAATAACTGCACGTGATCACAAAGCAGTTTCATTCTGCCTTCAATCCACTTTTTAACAGATCGGCTGGTCTCACTTTTTTAAGTCATAATATCTAGAACATTCTAGATATTATGAATAAATTACAGCAGGAAAGTAGGAAAATGGGCAAAAACAGGTTTAAATGTGTTTTCAAGTAGTAATTAACAAAGCAAGAACGTAACCTCAAAAATGTATTTTAGAAATCCATCTCAATTAAATAAAGGTACTTAGAAGACCATGTGTTACATGCTAATAAGGAGAATTCTTATTATTTTAGCAATTCTAAACGATTATTGATGCCTTTTTATTCTAAAAGCAAAGGCCGTATTAAATCAACCATGAGTAACCTTGATTTCACACCCTTTATATTCCTTAGAGGTCATTGATGCACTTGGGCACAGTATTTGATCAATTATTAACAATTCATTAGCAACTTTCATCCACGTTTTTACATGCTAAGGTCCAAAAACCTCATTTTAAGCAAAAGTAGGACAATTTAGAGATTTTACATTTTTTCAGAAACAGAATTCAGTTTTTTCTCCCCATCTGGGGGTTAAGAAACAGCACCATGCCGCTTTTATTTTGAGAGTGGAGAGAATGACCTCTGTTTGCACTCAGGGGGTCTCCGAAGGCCTAAAAGTGAGCGTGGGCAACTCCGAACGTCACAAGCAGAACAATCCCCGGTGCCGGCTCAGATGTGGTAACTCAACCCATCTCGCAAAGTATCTGCGCCAGTGAGGGTTCAAAGATAAAACACTTAAATCTCCTCTCAAATATCACTTGAATCAAACCTTCTGGGACATGCCGGCCTTATCGTTCTGGCTAGCGGGGCGGGACAGAGGCCTTCTGTAAGGAGCTTAAAGTCACAGACTGGGCCCGGTCCGGGTGGAGCCAGATGACATAACAGGGACCGGGGGGGGAATTTGATCACAGCGTTTACCAGCTCTTCCATTTGATTGTCCCAAAAGGGTGAGACGGGGGAAGTGAAGGAATTCAGAGACTCATCCTTGAGCTGCTGCTCTACTTTGAGCCTGTGGAGACTAGTGGGTGGGCTGAGATTTTTGCCTAATGCCCTTAGTAACACTCCTCTGGAGAAAAGAGCAGCCACCCAATCAAGAAGAGGAGCCTGGAACAAGAGAGGTCTTCTCTGCCTCCTGCCCCGCGGCCACAGTGTGTTTAACATCCGATTCCAAGAATGAGGCCCATTGTCCGGTCTCTGTGGGATTAGGAACACATACGTGACAAACAACAGCTTCATTTGGCAGCAATATAAACACACGCAGCCTCGTAATGGAGTCTGGTGAGCGGCTACGCAACGGCCTGAGCTCCAACACTGAAACTGTAAAGGTACCAAACATGTGAGCAGTGAAGGTATCTGCACAGTGGCACCACCATGTCCTGGAGATGAAGTGCTATGTTACAAAACAGAATACAATTGCTCCATTAAGAGACAAACTACTAAGAGATTGTTGAGGTGTTTTTTAAAAACTTCCTGAACGTTATCTTGAAGAATCTACTGCCTTCTAGACACTAAGAACAGAGCTCTAGGTTTAGTCTGACGAGTCTATGAGACAAACAGCTCACTTCAGGACTCCGAGTCTAGTAATGAAAATAAAAGAGCACACAGACGTGGCATTATTCAGCTCAATGTGCCTGTAGTTTGGGGAAAAGGTCAGTGCGAGCCACAAACAACTGCACATGGAGATGAATCTGATGATCTGGTATTAAAGGCAGGGTTGTTCTGGGCCATGAAATATTTGGACTCTCTTCGATCAAATACCTTTTAAGAATTACGAACTAGATTTGGCGCATAGATCCATCTGTCTGACACTGGCTGCACGCAGAACGCCGACCCAAAAGTATGGAAACAAGACACGAGCTCGCTGCATAACGGGACGTCTCATCTGTTGTATGAACAGAACTGACGAGTCCGTTGTTTCAACATTTTGTCCCGTGAGACCTTTTCCGATCCACGTGGACGCAAATCTCACAATATATCGTTCTGGATTTCAGATGTAGCACCTTTAACTACTAATAGCTCTCAGAGGGGTTAAGCAGGTAATGACATCTGGTGATTCACACACACGTCAAACTTCTCTGGAGTCCTGATATGGAACATCAGTACAATACGGACGAGGTCAGGTCGCAGGGTCCCAGGAAAGGTCACACACCAAGTTGGAACCAACACAAAAACCACTCGGACTAACTGTGCTGTGCAGTTTGTAATGAAGCGACATTATCGATTCTGGAGGGTCTTCATAAGGGACACGTGTTACATCGTTGTAAAACATGGACAGACTTTAGACTTTAGTTTTTTTCCTTCAACATTCATTTAGAGTTATATATATATTTATTTCTGACAACATTAATATGTTATTCTATAAAAATGAAGCAGAACAGCTTCTGAACTGAGCGTCTGACTAGTTTTGCTAAATGTTTCTACTATTGAGGCTGATGTTTGATCAATTGAGATGAGATTTGATGACATAGTTTCTTTCCTAAATGAGGGCAGGAATCAAACGGTCGTCTGGTGCTGATTCATGAGTTCAGTGTGAGATGAAAGTTCTTTTTTCACTTCATTCTCACAGAGGTCAGAGGTAACTTGGCTAATTAAGGTCCCTCTCCCCTTTTGGACAGCCCCATCTGAGCGCTGTGTTTTCACTTTCATGGTCCAGTAAGTCTGCTGGTAGCTCTTAGCTGTCTTGGCTGCACAGCTGGGGGGTTTAGGGGGTCTTTGATAATCCAAAGACAGGTTAAAAAGTATTTTCCCAAGAAACAGGAATTGCTGTATGGACTCAAGAAAGCATTTTTCCAAGACATAGCTATTGTTTAACAGGCCTCTTTTAAGAACAAATCAAATATTGCTTTTCCCATCAACAGCAAAACCAACTTCCAGGTCGAGCGCATACAAACGAACCCACGTGAAAAGGGTCACACATGTCAGGGGACACTCACAGGATGTGATTTTCACACTGAAGTAACTCGATGGGGTTCAGTTCTAAAGGATTATGTTACTGCGCAAAGAGAAGATAAAAATGGTTCTACAGAGACAACTGGTGACCTAAAACGAGCTGTCACTCAACCGCAGAAACCTCACGCTTCCCTTACAGAACGCAGGCAGACACTTGACCAACATTCATAGTTTGAAATTCCTGAGGGGTTAAAAAAAGTCATTCCTGGAACCATCTTAATAATCCAATGATAGAGTTTTTATTTCTATAAGAAGGGCAGCGTTCTCCCTCCAAAGCGCATTTTCTCATCGTATTCTCGTGTTTTCAGGGTCCCTTCGGTCGTACCAGGAATGAAATGAATGAAAACATGTCAGCGCAGTGGAGGAAATAGGATTAAATGGGTTAAATGCCAAACAGATTTAACATAGTTCACTTGCAGAGAAACGCAGACAGACATTCTGAAGCCAAAGTCCATCATCATGCTCAGTTTGCTGCTTGAAGAATATGGAAAATGCATAATTTGGTTTGGAATAGCCGAGGCTCCACCGCCATGTCCCTTGCTGAATATTCCCCCTCTTCTCCTCACGGCGACCGCTTCTACCGGTGTGTTGGTGGACTTACCTTCAGGACCTCCATGAGCCAGCCGCGGGGACGCTTGACATGGACGCTGGAGGTGTGATGGGTGCGGTGGTACAAAAGGCTCCTGGTCCTCCTCTCCCGCTCCTCCTCGCGCTCTTGACCCTGCCGATGGGCAAACGTCGGCTGGTTTTGGACACAAACCTGTGACGTCATGGCCGGTAATGGGCGGGAGCTCTGGGGGCTCTTGTGGAGGCCGTGAAGGTCCGGGGCAGCGCTGTGGACGCCAGCCCACCCAGGGGCAAAGAGGGAGAGGGAGGAGTTCAGTAGACCAGGCGAATAATGTGCTGCTGTGAACACTGTGCATGGCAAGGTGGGATTTTTTTGAGCCGTGAGCAATATGAGGTATTCAGAGACTCGTCTGTGAAGGTGTTATAGTTCTTTTAATGATGGTGTGAGATGCGTTCATGCGCACACGTACGTGCACCATAGGCGGGCAACTGTACATTGTTATCTTATCTACGCATGTACACACCACCGTGTGCAGCCTGAATAGAATTTTGTGCAGAGCTCAGCATTTTAACTGCTGGGTATCCTGCTGGCTCTTTTTATTCGTCCGACAATGCTTCCGGTCAAAGTTTTTGCAGGTTCAGATCCACTGCATCTTTCACAGACAAAGAGCCATTTGATCCATTGCTGTATATAACAATCACAATGTTGTGTCTTTGTGTTTGGTCCTCTTTTGTTGGTGAAAGAAAGGCAAATCCCCAGCTGGACAGATGTTACATCAATGGTTAATGCTGTTGATTAGCCGCCCTTCAGTGGCCAAATGTGTTTGGTAACATCAGACCTGGTTTGGTTTGGTTTCTTATGTGCCACCAGACACACTCCGGCTGCTGTGCTGTATGTCCGAGGTAGTACCCGTGTGCCTCTTGGCAAACTCAATGCAGTGAATAACTTTACTCATGTGCAATAATACACTGGGTTCATCCTTTGAAATTTGTAGCATATTGGAGCGGACAGCACCTGCACATCCCAAAGCGGAATGGATCTGGCGGCGCACACGCTGTCGGCATGAGGAATTCCCTGAGAAAATGATCCTTTTGATAAAAGCACTTCCAATCCGCTCAGCTTGTGCAGCCGTGCGATAATCGCACTAATTAGGCTGGCAGGTCAAATCCAGCCCTGTTCTGTGGATCGCTTCAACGTCGCCAGTGGCAACGGCACGATCTTTCTTCCTTCTTCTTTTACCTGATATCTTGATTAGTTCACAGAAATCTGCACCTGTTTCTTGAAAGGATTCTTGTGCGTGACTTGAATCCTATAAAAGTCTAAAGAGGTGTTCATAGAGTTTTTTGATTTTATGTTCTATGTTTTACAGGATTGACTTTGATGCACTTACTATTGATTAATTACTATGAAAAAAATCTATTAAAGCTTTAGAGGAGCTGTTTTAAAAACATCTTTGGACAGATCCAAGCTAGCTGTTTTCCCCTGATCCATGATCCTGATCCTTAAGCCTTATATTTAATCAACTCAGATGATAAAAGTATTCTCATCCAAATCTCCAAATACAAGTTTCCTTGCACCTGTCCAAGCTTCACGCTAGAACCAATGTTGTTAATTTGTTAATTAACAATAATAATATCCATGCAAGACTGAATATATGTGTGGAGACCCAAGTCTCTGCACAACTGGTCCCAAGAAGAAGAAGTAGAGACGAATGCGGTGAGTCACCATCTGCTCATATGATTCAACACGGTTCCTCACTTGGAGGAAATATATCATTCACTTCCAATTCAAAACTAAGTATGGATGATATGTGAAGAACACATCTCCACATCGCCACAACTCTGGCAAAGCCTCAACCGTGTCTTTTGCTGCAGTGTGAGCGGCGAGGACGCTGGTTCTGTTGGGCTCCCCGTGGACAATGGACACACCGAGCTTGGCTGTGATGAACTGAAGTCACGCCGCAGATCATCTGTCGTCTGCTGCGCATTTCAACATCAGACGTGACGCCAGAGTTTGCAGAGAGGGTTTGAGCGCCGCTATTGTTCCCGTCAGGCTGCATTGGGCGGGGAGGCCATGCTGTCCGTGACAAATGGTGTCGCTCATGAATATCTCACGGGGATAATTCATTCTCACAGGTCTGCTTCACAGTTACACAACAGGAATTTGGGGAAAGGGAATCCATGTATTTATCCAGAAAAGGTCATTGTTTATTTGTCACTAAATCTTTTCATCATTTTGTCATGTAAGTCTGTTCTGCAATGGTACAACGGTTTGAGTGAAATAGAATGTCGCACTTACCGAGGTAACAGCAGTTCATAAAATGATCTCATTCATGAATATGACGCTATTTGTTTGTGATTGGTTTTGTTTTTACAGCTCTGAAGGTAAATGTTGCATAACTGTGAAGCAGAGTGTCCATGTTCATGACATTATGCAACGTGGTGTTTGCAGTGGTTTGACAATTTGGTGCACAAGAAGTTGATGCTGCGTTGAAGTCGGTAGTTTTATGTGAATATCGTATCCTCAGAGTACCATGATATTGTCCAATGTGTGGCTCTTTGTGTACTTTACATAAGTCAGTACGGCCCTCTTAGACATATTTTGCCCGTCCCTGTGGAACCAAATTAAGTCTCGTTATTTCCATCACCATAGGTGCACATACCCAGTACCCTGCTGTGTTCACTGTCCACTGCTCATTGTCGAACACTGAATTGATAATGTTTGCCATTTCCTCATTTAAGAGCTTTGACCCACGAATGGTGTCAATCATGTCATCGTATGTTGAAACTTTTCAACTCAGTAAGTGAAGACAGGAAAGCCTTTAGTGCCACTGACTTCTGCTCCAAGCATCTATTCGTTGTGTTGAAGGCAATTCTCCTCCGTCAGCATCTGAGAGGCTCTAGAAACGCGTTAGCGCGCATGAGTCGCTCACACACACTGCTGATGCGTCGCCAATCGTTACGATGTGGAAATGTTGAAAGCTCGAGCACGACGCGCCAGTCAAATAACAAAAAAAGCAAAGAGGCACGAGGCTGAGAATAAGGATGAAGCAGCTTTCTTACCTTTTCATTTAGATGAGTGATCCAACGGCTCCCACCTCACCATTGGTTTGTGGTTTGAGGAATAAGGTCTTTTTAAAGCGCTCCAGGATTTCAGGACTTCCTGGTGTGACACAATAATGTCTCACTTGCAAGTTGACACGATGACGAGTCCCAGATGTGTTCTGTGCTTTAATCGAACATGTGGGTTTAGGGAAGGAGGACGAGCAGTGGAGTAGTTATCTGGCACACTATCTCCATTCATTGCAGCTAAATGAGCCTTTGATTATGAAACATTAGAGCTGGAAGGAAAGAGTCTGAACACTAAATGTTTGATAGGAAACGTATCCGGGTCGTCTGTCATCTGTTCCCAGTGTCCAACAATCCCAATGACGCAAACGACTAAAGGGACGTTTCAAATGCAGTTTGAATGGTAGAAATCCATTTATCAACTGTGGAGATCATGTCTGGAGAACAAGACAAGAAAGCCGTCTCTCCACAATCGGTTTGAAGGAACAACAGAAGTATGAACAACGAAACATTACCAACATCATAGTCGGTGTATTTATAGGAGCTTGGCATTAGTAGTTTTAATGATGTATGCTTATAATTCACTTTCTAATATTGATTTTGTATTTCTGTGAAAACATCTTCTTCAAACTACTGTTTGTATTCCAGTCTGTCCAATATTACGTTTCACAAGCTTACTTTTGAAGACGTCATGATAAAGTTATCATTTACCTTTTTGGATGAATAAATTCTTTTGTTTTTATCACGTGGAAAATAAATGAAACCATAATGAAACTAAACAGAACCTCCGTGCTTTAGCTACATCGCTACGTTAACTAGCTCTGCTGTGACTGCGTTGACCTTTTTTTAGATCTTTGGAAAGTCAGGCTAACGTTAGCTTCTTGCACCTGAAACTTTGAATGTACATATTCAATCAACAATTGTATGTAACGTACAGTTGTAGTGTTCTAAGTGAATAAGCGTCTCTAGCAGCCTTATTGTCTCCTGGCTGTGGCCTCACGTCTTCCACTACCACAATGTTACGTTTTTAAATGTTGCATAAAAGCCAAACGTCCTCATCTCTACTAACACATTTTCAACGTGTACAACCTTCTTGTACAATAACCTGTGATTTTAGAATATTAACATCACGGTGAAGAACTCCGGAGTAACGGCACTAAAAGTGAAAAGCACCGTTCATACTGATGCTCCTGTATCTGCTGAGCTTTCACATATTGTTGCACAGGGATGCTGCAGCTCTGAAGCACTCAGCAGTGGTTATGTGCATTTCGATCCTTGACTGCGCTGCAAACACCCTACTGGTGGAGAAATGCACTGTGACGTCCTAAACTCCGTCTCCTCTTCCAGCTTGAATTTTCTAAATGTAGCACAGCAGCCTTAAACAGGAAGCACATGTCGTGATTCAGCCGTTTCCATTCTGAAACCTGGCTCTAAAATTGGCGCTTTCTTTCCAAGGACGTTTCATCAGCTTCCTCCTGGACGCGTGAGTTGACAGACTGAATAACCACAAAGGGTTCCACATGGCAGTAATAGTCCAAAACCTTTTTACAGCAGCACGTCCACCTGCTTCTTCATTTTCTAAACCATTAGACCTGGTTTGTGTTATTGGACTCGCTGTGTGTCGCTCTGCTTCACAGTCGTCTGAAGCGTGGAAATTCATTTTTGCTATTTGATACGCAAGGATGCAAATGATTACAAGGGTAGTTGTCAGCGGACAAAAGCAACATTCAAAGCAACATTGTGTGTTCTCCCCCCAGGATAATGAGTTATTCAAGGGTGTTATGCAGAATAGTGCAGATAATACTTAATGTTATAATATAAATAATATATCACATCAATGTGTGGTGGAGAAATAACCACTAATAATGTCATTTTAGGTCCAACCCGTGGCCAAAGGTATCCTCGCAACAATCCTAAATAGGACCAAATCTGTGTGAATAAGACAAGATTCGGGAAATGAGACCAAATCAGGGTCTCAGGAAGTATTTTGCACCCACTCAGACCCTGTTGAGGACACACAATCCATTGAGCTGGACCTTGTGAGATTGACTGACACGTTTAGGTAAAATGACGGTAGCATGAAGAATCCCACTAGCTCGGCTTTGATGCTGTATGTGTATCTGGTCGTGTTGTGTTGTAATTCATAAGTGACACAGACGCCGTTTGTCCAAAACCAAAACGCTGTGATCACTAGAAATAGAAAGCAAAATGAATAGAATGTTTCCTTTGTACTTATTCAACAGATGTCTCAGTGTCTTCTGTCTGCTG